TAAACACTGCCGGCACAGGGCGGATCGATGGCACGCAGACGGCACGTGCCCCGCCCGGCCAGCACGTGCTGCCGTCACCAGCACTCGCGCATTACTGTTAATTGCATCTTTCGGTGCGCAATAGTGGAGTGACATCTGTTGCTCTCCGATCGTGTGTGGAGCACATCACTAATATATACTAGTTTAGTATAGAACTCTTTGCTAGATGTAGGTCGGATCTGTGTCTGTGTGTGCACGAGGAAAGCTCGGGATCAGTACAGAGCTGCAGAGGACTGTGTCTGTAGTAGTGTAGTTTAGGACTAGAGGCTAGATGTAGGTCGGTTCTCTGTCTGTGTGTGCACGAGGAGAGCTCGGGATCAGTACAGAGCTGCAGAGGACTGTGTCTGTAGTAGTGTAGTTTAGGACTAGAGGCTAGATGTAGGTCGGTTCTCTGTCTGTGTGTGCACGAGGAGAGCTCGGGATCAGTACAGAGCTGCAGAGGACTGTGTCTGTAGTAGTGTAGGACTAGAGGCTAGATGTAGGTCGGCGCTGTGTCTGTGGGTGCACGAGGAGAGCTCGGGATCAGTACAGAGCTGCAAAGGACTGTGTCTGTAGTTTGTGTAGTGTAGGACTAGAGGCTAGATGTAAGTTGGCTCTGTGTCTGTGTGTGCACGAGAAGACACGAAGTAGGTACTGAAACAGCGCATTGGATTTAATAATTTATTTTCACATACATAATTTACATTTTGACACAATTAGACTGAGCATACAATACATAATTTTTTTATTAGCATTTACATTTTATTGGCATAGGTGTGTTCCTGATACCACAAGAAGCTCCCCACTTTGAGACATGACGGTGAAGTCCCATCTGTGATGAAATAAGGGTTATTCTATTCTATCCTTTGCTTCAGAGAGCTTTATAGACTCTGTCAGGACAGTAGAACCCCCAAATCATCCCTTACCATTAGACTCAAGTCTTTTGATGACTTTCCGTCACAACTTATCTTCAATTAAACTTACAATTAACAATTTAGTGCAAAACAAATCTATTAATTTACCTAAATTTTGTATTTACAATTCGTATTGTATTTATTTATAATATTTAATTATTTTTTATTCTTATTAAACAGAGATTAGCACTGCCCTTTGTTGAGGAATCTCCTTAAACCTTAAAATTCAGTATGGTTCCCGGATACGGAGGCTCACATTTCGCTACCCATGTGTGAAATTCACGCGCGTAGTTGAAAAGGAACCATCAGAATATATAATAATATATTTATATTATATTATATGTTTATGTATATGATTGTCTCTTTTTCGTTTCGAAACGATTGCACTACAAAGACAAATACTCAAATATCGGAGCTTAGGGTAAAATAACAGGGTAGTATTAATCGCGGGAATCCCTCTACTCTGACCGGGTTCTGACTCCGGACGGAGATAGGACGTCGGGTGTAAGAATGCGAGGAGAGTCGTTTGGTGGGCAGTGTCCTAAAGAGTCTAAACATCTGCAGATCGTCAAGTCGTATAAGGTTCGGTCCTCAGCCCGAAAACGTAGAATAACAATGCGCAAATCTAATTTCCATTTATTAAGGATTTTGGATGTACGACTTCACCTGGTCTTAAGTGCTACAGAGGTCCATAGACATAACAATGCCACCACCCAGTTTGAGACTTGAATGCGATGTGAAATGCTATTTGGTTTAAGCGACACTTCGCTTAACTTTGTAATTAAAGATGTGTTTTATTTGGTATCAGCATCAACAGTTCGATGTTTTTAATTGAACCTCACTTTACTTCATTCAATTAGCTGAAGATTTTTTTTAGTTATGAAATTTTTTCCATGTTTTAACCTCTAAACGGCTCGCCTGTAAAATGTGGGGTTTACAAAAATGTCGCTTAAGCCATGTAGCTTTTCATCCCTCGATGCAGTTGTGATAAAGTGTAATATGAACTTCATTTTGTTTTTTTATGTTTTAACGAGGATTCTTAAATTGTGAACGAGATACAAATTACAATGTTAGTAAGGAATCTTAGCCTAGACTAGTTGAATTATAAGATAACCGATTATTTACAAGTTACAAATATAGTTNTTTACAAAAATGTCGCTTAAGCCATGTAGCTTTTCATCCCTCGATGCAGTTGTGATAAAGTGTAATATGAACTTCATTTTGTTTTTTTATGTTTTAACGAGGATTCTTAAATTGTGAACGAGATACAAATTACAATGTTAGTAAGGAATCTTAGCCTAGACTAGTTGAATTATAAGATAACCGATTATTTACAAGTTACAAATATAGTTGAAGTTACACATAAAATAATACAATTAAATACGTTTTATGAAAAAATGTTTTCGATAGGGGAACCATAAAGTCGTGTGTGATATTTGAAAAAAATACCTAAAGGAGCCTCGTTACGAGTTGTATTCAATTCATCTAAAAAATGTACCTTAAAAATTCAGACCAGAAAATTAAATGAAAGAAATAATAGTTTAAAAAAACTAACAAATTACGTTTTTGTAGAAAATTCAACTAAAAAATGGAAAACACGCTTTTTTTACAATAAAATATTTTTTTCTTACACTATTTTTAATTCAAATTTATTAAAATTTATTTTATATTTTTAGTTGGATTTTCTATAAAAGCGTATTTTGTTAGTTTTTATAATTATTATTTATTTTTCATTATTTAGTTGAATTTTAATTTTTTCAATTGATTTTTTTATTGAATAATATAATTATTTTAAATATTGAATTGTCATCGGTCCTTAATAAGTATACTAAATTTCGAGTAAATCCGACGATTTGAAGGGGGTCAAAATCATGTTCAAAGATTACGTTACAAACTAACGTACATGCGTCTGGAGTTAATAAAAGCGTATTAAAAATATTACACGAATCCGTGAGAATAAACATATATCCAATACATAAATCCGTCTTTATGGCTCTGGTGTCGAGAACGTGATAGCTTTGCCTATGCGCTTACACCCTAGATTACTTCGGAAAGTATATATATACAGATATTATCTTATCCTAAAATTTGTATTTACACCACGACCCACTAATGGCGCGCCCGAATAATAAATATAATTTATATTTTTCTTGAAATTCTATGTAATATATAATATTAATGTATGCGTGTGTGAGGGTTTTGTTCATTGGAACGAGAGAATATGTAACATTTTACTTCATACTGATTTTACTATAGTTCGCTCACTATTTCTCTCCACCTATACCTATGTGGGTAGGTAGCCATCAAACGACGCAAGATGTTTGACAGATGCCTGAATCTCGCTTACGATGTTTTCAAGATAAGCGTACACATATACAAGTTCCGAATGACAACATTGGGATCGTCGGTCTACCGAGCAATATCACCCGCCCGGTGGAAGATCTTCCCTTCGTCCTTTAAGCCTTCCACACCTATATTGGTCCTATGGAGATATTCGCTCATTGGCGTTTCTAGTTGCAGTCTCCCGGTCCACCAACCACTTCTATTCCCAGTTGTAGCCTTTCTAGGTTTACTGGTGGTAGGACCTCTTGTGAGTCCGGACGGGTAGGTACCACCACCCTGCCTATTTCTGCCGTGAAGCAGTAATGCGCTTCGGTTCGAAGGGCGGGACAGCCGTTGTAACTATACCGAGACCTTAGAACTCGTATCTCAAGGTGGGTGGCGCATTTACGTTGTAAATGTCTATGGGCTCCAGTAATCGCTTAACATCAGGTGGATTGTGAACTCATCCACCCATCTAAGCAATAAATAAATAAAATAAATATATCAGGGCTCAAAGAAGGGAACAGGCAGATACGACAAAGTACCTCGCGAGAGAACGGCAGTGAAATGAATCAGTAAAATTTCATGCATTTTTTTTGTTTTATTGACCTTGTAGGCAAATGAGCATGCATATCAGCAATGGCAGGAGCAGAGCCAAGCCGCTGCCTACCGCTTAATACTCTTCACAAGCTTCGTTTGAAGAAGGACGTGTCATAGCGCTCGGGAAACACCGTGGCGGGGAGCTCATTCCAAAGCCGGATGGTACGTGGTAAAAAAGATCTCTGGAAACGCACTGTGGATGAACGCAGTGGATCCAGGTATTATGGATGAACTCTACTCCGGTGGCGGGCGGTTCGATAGTAAATGCCCTACAGAGAGCCCACTGTAAGGACTGAATCAAAATTTCCTCAATATTTAATAATCCAATAGAAGGTTCCATGTATTCGCTATTTTTGGCCTGCATCATCGGCGTACCATTACACGAGAGCGCACTAACCTGACACTTGACAGAATGCAGAAATTGACAGATTGTAACATTAACCTTTGATTTTTAAGTATTTGTGATTTAGTCAACCTCTCATCCATCGGTTTACTAATAGACACGTTACTAAATTTAACTTTATTGTTTTTATTGTGAACGATTTTGTTGTAGTTATTGTGGATTCGTACAATGTCGTACATTCAGTGGATACCACGTTGGAGTCAGTTAACGAAAACAAACTTTACGTTAAGCTTCATTATGTAACGGAAGCAATTGGCATTCTGAGATCATGAAAACTATTCCTTACCGGCTGGTGCTAGCAGCGGCTTTGTGCAGATATCGCGACAGGTCAAAATGGCCGTGCTTAGCCAAGATTACGAAACGAAAAATACCGTGCATTCGGAGACCATGAAAACTATTCCTTGCCGGCTGGTGCTAGTAGCGGCTTTGTGCGGGTATCGCGATGGGCCAATATGACTGTGCTTAGCCAACATTACGAAACGAAAAATCCCGTGCATTCGGAGATCATGAAAACTATTCCTTGTCGGCTGGTGCTAGCAGCGGCTTTGTCTCGACGAGCCAAAATGGTTGTGCTTAGCCAACATTACGAAACGAAAAATCCCGTGCATTCGGAGATCATGAAAACTATTCCTTGCCGGCTGGTGCTAGCAGCGGCTTTGTCTCGACGAGCCAAAATGGTTGTGCTTAGCCAACATTACGAAACGAAAAATCCCGATAAGTGTTTATATATGTACCGAAACAAGTCAGGTCACGTTGATTTCCTCGTCGGAGGCGCTGGCGTCGCTGTCGAACTCCTCCGCGTCCTCGATATTGGGAAACTCCCGCGCGAACAGCGCTCCGGCGCTCATCTTGGCTTCGTATCCCTGAAACTCGGATGTGGTCGGGTATACTTTCGACTTCTCTTCGTTTTGCTCGTCGTTTATAGGCGATAGAGGAGACAGCTTCTGTTTGTCAGCCTCCGCGTCCGACAGGTCGGGGTGGGGATTGTTCTTGTTGGGCAAAGTTTGTTCCCGGGAACCGCCGGACGCGAGAAGTTCCCGCTCTTTCGAGTTCCGCCATTTCATACGTCGGTTTTGGAACCAGATTTTGACCTGCAACAAAATTGTAGCTTTTAATAAGATCGAACAAGTCTTGTTGGAGCACACTATTTTTTGGGATGTGCATGTTAACGAATTTGGGGATCATCCTCCTAGACCAGTGACTCTCAACTTTTCAGCGACGAACTTAATCTAATTTGTTATTTTATATAAATACCTTATTTGTTACAATTTCACGACAGCCATAAAATATATGCAAAATTAATTAAACGCAATTGTACCATTAACTTCTAGTAGACAGTTGTAGATTTGCCCATTATCCACATCAGAGACGCACCGATCACCCGGGTCCCGGATTTTAGGTCCTCATAGGTAGGTACCACCACCCTGCCTATTTCTGCCGTGAAGTAGTAATGCGTTTCGGTTAAAAGGGCGGGGCAGCCGTTGTAACTATACTGAGACCTTAGAACTTACATCTCAAGGTGGGTAGCGGCATCTACGTTGTATAATATTTATGGGCTTCGGTAACCACTTAACACCAGGTGGGCTGTGAGATCGTCCATCCATACATGCAGTAAAAAAAAAACACAAAAAAAAAACTAAGATAGGTAACAATATCGTGTTGTAAATTTCGGATCACGGAGGTTGAGAGCCACTGGTCTAGTCAAAGGATATGTTTAAAACTATAACAATGACTTATTTCGTGCGCTCCAACCTCGTGATTATTTACACGGGACCCATAAAAAACTGACAAACTGAAACTCATTAATATTAACAACTATAGATTCACACATCTCTCAATGCATCGTCTAAAATATATTTAACGTAGTTCCTCTGATCCTGATCAAATATAAAAAATAATAACATACGTATAAAATAAATCCATGATCGTGAACAACAATAGATTTCGTCCCGCACCCGAGAAATAAGTGAAAATCGTTAAAAAACAGAACATAAAAAGGCATTAACAGACTAATTCGAACACGATAATATATTTTTTTCGCGCGTCGCATTGTGCGTTTGACGTGCGATTATTGATGGCGCGAGGCGTGGCTGTACGCGCTCCGGACTCCTTAGTCTCTTTAGCGTTATTTAGAAAACAATACGCGTGACATTTGGTTTTTGGCGCGCTTTTTTTTTTCATTTTACGATCTCACATTACAACTATTAGTATTATGAAACTTTGCTAATGTCAATGTTTTTAATATATTGGTGGAATGCGCCAATAATAAGGCATAATGCCGCATCGGTGTGAAGTGTAAGGCGGGTTGTAAAATAACTTTAATATAAATATATAGGTAGTTAAACTATATAAATATTTATAGCAATAGGATAAATTTTAAAATAGAGTAGGTTTTACAGATACTTTTTCATAAAATTAAATGTTAATAAATCAATAGCCTACCATTCAAAGTTTACGAACTAAAATCACTCTAGGTACACGTTTTCTTGTAATATTTCTTTAAGGTTATATTTACTGCATTATTTTGTACAAAGTAAGTTTTTGAAATTATCAATAATTAACTACTTTAGTCTCTTCTTTATCTTTGTCCTTATCCCACTAGGTGGGGCCGGCACAGGGAATTTTTCTCTTCCACTCTCTTCTATCAGCCATCATCTCAACACTCACTCCTCTCTCTCTCATATCGTCATTCACACACTCCATCCATGTCTTCTTCGGTCGACCTCTTCCCCCTCTATACTACCATTTCCATACATCTCCTAGTCACATCCATCTCCTCTCTACTACTCTAATTAACTACTTTAGTCGAAATTATATTAATTTAACCAAATATGGTCGCTTAAACCAAATCTGTAAGTGGTAAGATCGGTATTTTTTTTAATTCGAGGGCACACTAAATTTGTTTTAAAAGAAAATCAATGTCAATGACAGTCATCGATTAAGATTACGATGTTACGGAGTGGTTCTTTGAAATTAAGAATTAAAAAGTAAAAATCCATTAGATTTCACCCTATAATTCAACATTATATACGCAATTGAACATTCAGTTTGTAGAATAAATAAATTCCAATGAATCTGAACTCGCCGCGTCCGATATCGAATTCCCGAAATATTCATACAACGAATGAATATTCAAACGTCCGCCATGTTTACATTCGCGCCGTTCCAATTTCAAATATTTGCATTCATTATTTTTTTTGTACTTTTTTATTTATTTACGAATTCTGAACTCTTTCGTGGTTTTTATTTGCATTTTTTGAATATCGAATCTCGGTACGTCACTGTCACCGGTGACAGTTTTTGGCGGGACCGCCATAATATCTGCATAGTGCAGTGAAAGCAAATAGAAATGTTATTTTATTAACATATTCGTGTTGTGCAAACAACGTCGCTAACAATAAAGCAACGTAAACCCTTCCGAAATGTATTTGCAAAGTACGCGGTTGTAATATCATTGTTGTAAGACCGTATACTATTTATCTTCAAACGCGTCAGTCTACTTTGAATCTAAAATAAAAAACACACGTTTACAAGATAGAAATTGAATTTGTTTTATTTAGCACAGCGCTTATACAAAGTCAGAGTTATTTTTCACATAAAGGCATTATTTATTACAGTATTTAAATGATGAGACCGTCACACGAACATTTTTATTTATTTATTTAGGTTGTTTTTTTTCCTTACCTATTCACCGGTAGACTAAGGAGCTATTCCAGTTACGCCCGGACGGATAGGTGAGCCTATGGGCTCAAGCTGAGAAAATTTGCTAACAGTACAACTGTTTTACTGTTGGTAGGACTTCTTGTGAGTCCGCACGGGTAGGTACCACCGTCCTGCCTATTTTGCCGTGAAGCAGTAATGCGTTTCTGTTTGAAGGGCGGGGTAGCCGTTGTAACTATACTGAGACCTTACAACTCAAGGTGGGTGGCGCATTTACGTTGATAGATATCTATGGGCTCCAGTAACCACTTAACACCAGGCGGGCTGTGAGCTCGTTCACCTATCTAAGCAATAAAAAAAACACTAGGCCTAAGTAGAGCAGTGCTTCGCTGAATCTACCACCGGATCGGAATAGCGACCACAGGAGTAGGCGAAATACTCAGTGGGCTGTGTCTATGGATTTTTAGGTTGTCTATGCATTCAAATTTAGTGAATTGGCAATAAATAGTATCTTGACCTATGAACACTGCGGTACTGTTGGTACGATATAATCCCAATACCAATCCCAATGCGGATTTTTGTTTATTACCTACTTCAATTAACTTTGCTCCATTCAAACAGCTAAAGATTCTTTTTTTTGTTATGATATTTTTTCCAAATGCTTAAACTTTAAATAATTCTCCTGTAATATCGCAAAAATGTCGTTTAATCCAAATATCCTTTGACCCCTCGATATTATATACATATATGTACATAATTAAATTTTTTTAATCACACGTTTTGGTTATGTTTGTTCATGGCGGGAGAGCGAAGCGTCCATTCCTAGATTTCAGTAAATAAAAAACTATTTTACGTCTAGACTTGTTTTATAGTAAGGCTTGCACCCCCGCCCCTAACTCACCCCTGCGTGTAATCGGTCCGCGCTGTGTCTCTTTATCCCGTTTATAAATTGTAATAAAACTGAATATGTCAAAAAGTAATTAATTCTGAGGGGAGCCATCTCTTGAAGTGATGTACCACTAAGTCGATAGTTTGGACGTCGAGCTTTATCCTACTAATATTAAAAACGTAAAAGTTTGTAAGAGATTTATGTATTATAAAAATAGCGACCCGCCATAGCTTCGCTTATTTATTTATTTATTTATAAGACACACAATACACATTACAAGCTAAAAAGAAAAGATACACAATAAATAACAAAAAGTAAAAAAGTTTGGTTTGTAACATAAGCCATGCGCGCACAACTAATCAGGACAAATGATGAAAATAAGATGGTTTTTTTTTTCCTGCTTACTTAATATGTATCGTTATATTTTTGGTAATATATACAAACTATATCTTTATAAATCACAGCCTATTTGATATTCTTATATATAAGCTATATTATTGTAAAATTTCATCAAAATACCGCCCGCAAAAATCAAACGCGCAAAATGGTAATTTGCGTAATTACTGGTAGTAGGACCTCTTGTGAGTCCGCACGGGTAGGTACCACCGCCCTACCTATTTCTGCCGTGAAGCAATAATGCGTTACGGTTTGAAGGGTGCGGTAGCTGTTGTAACTATACTGAGACCTTAGAACTAATACCTCAAGGTGGCGTATTTACGTTGTAGATGTCTATGGGCTCCAGTAACCACTTAACACCAGGTGGGCTGTGAGCTCGTCCACCCATCTAAGCAATAGAAGAAAAAAAAGTTGACCAGTGGTTAAAGTGCGGTCTTACGAACAAACGTGTAAATATACTTATTCTTTTATTGACCGCTCCGACAAGGTTCCCGGAGGACAATACACGCCACCACACATAATAAGCCCACAGTTACAATGGTCGTTTATCGATATCACGATATTGGTACGTCACTAGTGCGTCCCGAGCGCGTCACTAGCGCGCGTCACGCGGGCGACATCTGCTCGCGACGGACGCGGCCGCCTCCATCCAAATGACGACTTACCCACTTCATTCGTTCTAATCTTATAATTTCTTTATTAATCATTCTCAACAGATAATTGCTTTAGTTTCGCTGCGAATTCAGATATATCTTTAACTAGCGGCCCGCTCCGGCTCCGCTCGAGTCTTTAACAAAAATTTCAACGATATTTTGACGTTGTTTTATTTTCTTAACTAAAAGAACACTTACTGTGGCATGACTATAATAGTTAGACATATGCTGTCGCGACACTTTTCGTAATCAATACTATAACTAGTCAGGTCATAAGTATTGTCACACAGTAAAAACTTTTCTTTTAGAATGCTGGCTACAAAAAAGTTTATTGAATTCGAATTTCGAATTGTTCATGAAAATAAAAATGTATACTTTTAGAATTTTACTCATTTTTAAATATGGAGTGGACGCTTAAAGAAGACCGTGTTGCAGTTATTGCGTTGCATCGTTGCGGTTACGCGCCAATTCAAATTTTTAACATACTGAAAAA